GTTTCTCATCTAATTTTTTTGTGTTTTTTTTTTGTTTTTCTTTCCTTTTTTTTTTGGTGCGTTCGGAAAAAGGTAGAGGCCGGGGCTGCTTCTCCAGCCAAAGAAGAAAGGGGAGGTGGGGTGGGGAAGAGGGACCGTTGCTTCTCGATGGCTGCACAAGCATCATGGAGAGGGGCTGTTTTTCAGTTTGGATTTTCACGTGTGCAAAGCTCACCTACCTGTAGGATTACCTCATGTTAGATTTTTAGGGCTGGATTAACTGTAATGGAGAAGTTGTGTTTCTTGGATTACGATGTCTGTTTGTGATCAGAGTTGGAGACAAACTGGAGAACGTTTTTCTCTCTTTCTAGAGTCTCCTCAGACTCGAACCAACCCTTTGACTGTCACTGCATGGCCCGACGTGCCACATGTTGCTGATAAACCTTGCTTGATTCCCAGAACCGTGGCGTGGTTTCAGTGATTCCTTTTCTATGTAGATTGACACAGCATTGATGGTAACTGCCTCTGTGTCCCAGGCATTTCCCCCACGCCGAATTAAGAGTAAACTTTGTGATGTCAGGTTATGGGAAACTGAGATGAAATCACTGAGTTTCGTGATGGGATTCCCTTTTAGTTTTTGTGTACGCTGACGCCCACTCGTTGTGTTCTGGGGAATGTTTTTTTTTCTTTTTTCTCTTGAAGATGACAAGTTGCTTGTCCCACAATGTGGGCTTGTCTGGTCACATCATCAGTTGTGTGATGAGATGGAGAGTCAGATGAGTCATTTGTGGCTTTGTTGACAAGTCCTCCCACACTCTAACCTTTTTAGCTACAATAACTGCCTTGACTGACAACCCCTGCACACCACAAACCGGAGAACCGGATTAATACTGTCTTATGGCGAAAGTGAAAGATTGAGTTTAGTCTTATTTGTCGGGCTCCCCTCCCCCTATGATCCTTTCCCAGCAGCGTGTAGCGTAAGACCACAGCTGATGATGTCGGCTGAGCACGCTGCATGAAAGCAGGAAGCCCACACAAGCATGTTGTCGCCTTCCCGTCCTTGTTCTCTGGCAACAGCTCAGTTGCCCCTTTTTTTTTTTGCTCGTTTTTATGAAAGAACATGACATCATTGAAGCGTTTGTCACATATTCCCGGTTTGATCTGAATTGTTAACCTTTGATTAATGCAGTTGTGTCATTGTGGGGCTGCCTCTTATTCTAATGAGCACTAATTAGACGCCTTTCCCTCACCGTTTGATGTACTCGAGCTAAAAAAGATGCTCTCAGCTAAGTGATTCACACTTAAGGCTGTGTGTGGATGCTCTCCTCACTGCTTTTATCTGGGGCTCCGCTTTGAATTTGCACGAGCGTGCACTTATTGATTGGCAGCAGTCGGATCAGTCGGATTCTGATCATCCGTCTTCTTTTTTCTTTTTACGTGGTTTGAAATGACGCTCCCTCCACAATTAGTAGAAATAGATTCATCTGTGTCCCAGAGACGCAGCATTAGTCCTTCCTTAAGCTTCTGTATCTGCTCTGTAGCTGCTGCGACAACAGGTAGAAATAATCAGATGCTAATGCGGTGAAGTTTGGATTTGACTCAGCCGATTTGTCCTTTAGTGAAATTCAAGAGCAGGTAAATACGCTCTCCTCTCTCGCTCTTAGGCCAGCACAGCCATTAAGACACCAGCTGCTTCTACGGGTGTTGATAGAGAGCACAAAACTGACATGATTTATGGTTATGAACAGGCAGTGGGCTGCTCTTGGATGAGGATGGAATATCTTTTTTTTTTTTTTTTTTTCTTCTGCTTTCCCCACCAGTGGACGGGGAACTAGTTAACAGGCAGTTATGCAGCTCTGATTTGTGCTAATGAAGGCAGGAATGTGTGTTAACGAGAGCAAAACCAGGGCTGCCACATCAACATGCAGCAAGAGGCCCCCCGCTCTGCCAACGCACCTGTTGACCCATTCCCGCTCGGTGATGAAATGCAATACCCTCGTGGGTTAAATCCAGCCGCTGCCTTTCTGACTCTTAAACAAGAGAGCACTTTGCTTTTTGCACCTGACCTCACCGCTAATCTACAAGTCCAAGCAGCTCGAGCGCTCGGCGTCTGCGATCAAGCGCCCACTTCTGTGGTAATGGGAGACGGGGCTCGCATTAGCATCCCCTTCGAGGTGGACGCTATCATATTTATGATTCGCACTTCTAAACCGAGTGGCTGCGCGGATGCTGGAGCTGTTGCTGTTGTCTTTGGGTTTACTTCTGTGGCAGTGTTTGGTATACACTTCTGGCTGCCCCGGGGCCAGAGAAACCATTAGCGGAACTCTAAAGTTGATTGATGGTGGCGTTCGCAGGGACTCTTGAGGTACCTCGGTCTTTGACTGCTGTGCTGTTATCCACACCGTGTTGGCCTGCCACACTGTCGTCTGTACTTTATTGACAAAATATTGAGAAGGCTCTGACCACATTATTGTGAAATTTTGGCTCCAAGTCCATCGGACCCGAAAGCTTACATGAGTGAAGAGTTTAAATATGTGATTCCTCTGACTTGTGAACTCCTGAAATGTTGGCGCCGTTTGCTGTGAAAGAGGTGGCGATGGGGTCAGGGCACACAAGATCAGGGGGAACACAACTGACCTAAGTGGTAGAGAGGCTGCCTTATGGAGACTGAGTAGGATTCGGTTTCAATCAGTGAGAACGCCCACCTCTCTTTAACCTTTCTAGAGGGCAATATCACAATTCCAAGCAAAGACGTTCTGCTCTGTTCAATAGGCAGGTGAGCAAAGCCTGGAGGAATCCGCAGGAGTGACATCAGCGATGAAGGAGGCTTGTCTGCGTGGCTAACTGCTTGATAAAGATTATTTGGTTTGTCTGGCAAAATATCTTGTTGCGTGTGACCTCCGTCTGCTCGTGAGGTGGTGAGATCACACTTTGACTTCAACCTAGTCGCAAGAGATGCATAAGCAGTGTGAACATATCAGTGATCTGACAGCGTTCAAAGTCTTTCACCATGAACCTGACTTTACAGTGAATCTGGTTCAAAGTAAATGGAGTTCCAGGAGATGATGGGATGGAATATCACCTGTAGCCCTCATGCATCATCCTGTGGTACGCTCATGCCGACGACCTCAAAGTAGTAAATGTGTGATTAGCCTGTGGCATTCTTAAATAAGCCAGATGTGAGACCTATAAAAGCACGCGATGATAGTTAGTGACTTAATGATGAACAAACATGTTACTGTTAAATACAGGAGCCGAAAACACCTGAGGACATGTGTGTGTGTCTCCGTGTGTGTGTGCGCTGTGGAAAAGGGATAGCAGTGTGTGCTTGTCTGTTACAATGATGGAACAGAGTCATTATAATCCATGGATTCTACCTCCGTCACATTAAGGCAAATTGTCCGGGATAATGGAATTACATAAGAGGGACATGCTGGTGCTCAATTCATATCCGCACTCCCATCCGCGCCCACTCCCTGCGCAGACAGCAGCCCCCACTCAGAGGAAGCGGCTTTTGCTTATCCAGCTTTATCAGCATCTGCACTGAAGTCCTGAGCGTGAGTGGGTAGCCCTAATCTTTACATGTTAATTGCCGGATTTAAAAGTTCTTAATTGCTTCATGGGATTTGGCAGTGTGTGAGCGATTAAATACAATGGCCAATTTGGCATTCTGACAAAACAAGAGAAATGTTGAGAAGGCTGTTGAATGTGGGCTCCTCCCTTTTGAGGAGGCGGGTGGGCGGGCGAGGGGAAGCAAATGAGTGCGACTGCAGGGGAGAGAGCGGAGTCCTCAGAAAATACGGGGGAAAAAAAGTCACATGAGGACAAGGAGACTGGGATGGAGTGAGCTGTAAAGTGTGGAGTCACAGCTGGCTGAGGAGAGCAGGGTAAAAGAGGACAAGGAGCACAACATTGAGGGGGACACCAGAGAGCGTGGCGTCCGGACACTTGTGGGTGTCAGTGAGGGCTTCAGCTGCGGGGGGGCTCACTCAGCCAGTAGTCTCCAGGGGCAGAAGCAAAGAGAAGCACATCATTACCCGGCAAACGGGGCCAACTTCTTCTTTTCCCAGCAGCAATGAGCGGGAAAATGGCAACGCCATTTTACCTTTCGTTTGTTCGCGATAAGTTCCACAGAGAAATTTGAATCAGAAAGTTTGCCATCCATTTTATCCCCAATATACCCAGAAAGAAGTCAAATCACTCTTGAGCATTTGAACGCCGCCTGGAGCTGTCAGCAGAGATTTTGTGTGTGACCTCTCGGCGTCAGGTTTCCCCACGTCTCCTTCTCGTGCGCCGGCTAGACGCCGTCGGGGGAAAAGCCGGCCGAGGCGGCGCTGCGTCCCTTCTGGCCGTGCTGCCTGATTATTTGTTGGAACAAATTCCACAGCAAGCCACTGCAAAGCCAATGGGCAAAAAAAAACACGAGGAGACAGCAGCAAGGAGCTGATAACCGGCTCTTTTTGACAGATGACAGATGCTTACTATTAGTAAGCAGCGGGAGAGAGTGACGGGAAAATGTGCTGCGTGGGTTAATGCAGGAGGAGGAAGTTAAAAGCAAGCAAGGAAGAGATTCTCGGTTAGCGAGCGGGGAGGAGGAGAACAAGCGTCTGATGCTGAGTAATGTGACAGCGCGCCGTGGAGGCAGTTATCATGCGGGCTGAATGCCTTTGCAGCGTCCTCCCGTCAGTCTGCTCCATGCCAGGCAGCTCCTGAAAGGTCACCCACGGAATGACTCGTCAGTGTCGAAACCAAATGTCTTTTACGCATTAACAGACGGATAACTCAGACATCTCCTCCTTGACAAATCATCCGTCACAGACCTCCCCCTTTCTGTGGAACACGCAGAATCTGTCAGGACGAGTCTTCCTCTGCTGTGCAGAGGCAGAAGTTATCATCCCGTCTATCCTGGAAGGGTACAGAGCATCGCAAATCTGACAAATGTTAGGGAGGGCCTCGCAATTCTTTGCCCTGCGCTGCACATTTCGTCACTGGGAAGGTGTCTCAGAATTAAGTAATTACACAGGCCCACGCGTAACTTCAGAACTTTGCGCTTCCTGTTGGCGATTTAACCGGCAGATGGCACAAGCCTATTGATCGTATTAGTAGCCAACAATAAAGACGGCGATATTTCTGCCTCAGCGGCAGTAAAAGTGCGAGAGCGTCAGTAATATTAAGCCCTCAAAATCCTGGCTGGAAGGCACAGATGAAGGGACAAATGTTTAATGCCCCTGGGCAGTGTGAATGATTGAAAAGAGCTTATAGCCTGAGGCAGATCTTCAGGTGCTATCCTCAGTCAGCCTCCCGGCACTCTCACACATTACTCTACCCATGCATGACCGGAGGTGGCAATAATGCTCCTGTCACAGGATTCCATGGTGGTATGTTTCCTTTTCATTTTTCTTTTTTTCTTTAAACTATTGTATCTGTTAATTAGGTGTGTGCAAGGCTTTTTTTAATGGTCGAGTTTCTAGAAGCACCTGTGTAAGATTGATCCCTGAAGCGCAGGCTTCAGAGAGAAGGGCAAATTGAATGTTTTTGGCTGTTTGGATTTTTTTTGTTACACTCTGATGACGCCTTCATTTTAAACTTACCATTGGTAGAGAGGGGTAATTCTGCCTTATATGCCAGACGTCCCACTAAGTAACATGCATAGTAAAATGAAAAAAGGATTGTAAGTTGTTATATTTTTGTTTGTGGACTTGGTTAAACTGAGAGTAGGTCTGTGTGAGACAGTGCACACAGTCTTCATTGTTGAAAAATGACTGGCCTGTGGTCTTTGTATTGTGGGAGTCCATTTCTGTCATTATCAGGTCAGTGTGTGACATTTACAATAAATGTGGTTGAGCAAAGGTGTGTGTGTGTGTGTGAAGAAGGGACGGGCTGATGTTCTTGTGTGCCCACGTGTGTGATGTGGCTCTTTGCGGTTACACGGTAAAAAATGTGGCTCTTGGTCTCTGCCTGGTTTGGCCGCCCCTGCTCCACCGCCAGGTTGAGATTGCTCCACGCTCAAAATCCCTCCCGCCATCCACCTGTGAAGCCGTCAGGCATATGGATGGATAATGCCAGCTGACTGAGCAGCAGAGGCAGCTCCGGGGCTCTGCTGCATCATCCTCCGCAGTGGTTGGGGGAGGGGGAGGCAGCGCGTGTTCCCACACACTGACCGAGGCGTTAAGCTCGTGTTGACACGGATGAATACGCGTCCGTCATCAGTGGGACGGCTGTCGGCATGTCACAGGGAGCTGGTGTGATCAAACCGAAGCCCTGCGGAATTCTCACACGTCGGTTCTGAGACATGTGCCCCAGGCCGAGGCTGTGATACTGCAGCCGCCTGGCAAGGGGCACTAATGACTGCGTTTGGATATGATTCATAACCCTGACGAGTTCCGATCATAGATAATGGGGAATGTTTTTGCTGCATAGCGAGGGCAACAGGCACATTCTGGGGAGAGAAAAAAAAATAGCAGGCTCTGTTTAATATAGTTCTTTCCCTGGCTATCCTTGGCTGCCTCCTCTCCTCACTCAGCTGTCTGCCGCTGCATTCACAGAGCCTGGCAGGAAATAATTGCTTGTCCTCCACACGGCACTTCAAATAAAAGAGCGGTGTTAATGAGGGCTTTCCTTCGTCTCTCTGTATCGCACTCTCCATCGCTCATTCACTCTCTTCATTACTCCGCCCCCTCCGCGAAGCACTCGAGCTCATTGTTTTCGGTCTCTGTGGGAACCGTTCCCCCTGAAACGGCCGACTCAGCTCTCAATTTCGCCTGGCAAGTGCGGGCCGGCGGGCGGAGGAGCGCCGATCTCTGATGGCTCAGGAGAAGAGCAGCCATCTAACCACTGGTGTCACCCTGACTAAATTAGGAGCTCTTAAGCGTGATGATAGTTATTTCAGGGCGTCCCGCAGAGGGGGGTCCCCTCACTCCTCCCTCCCCCCCACGGTGGAATTTACGGGCAGGCATCGGAGGAGCTGTCAGTCACGGCCCATTGTTGTGCAAAAGGGGAGGTAATGTTCTGTAAGCCGTCACAGTGGGAATGATTCAGCAGCAGGCTTTACACACTTGACACTCACACGCGCGAACACACACTGATTCCCGAAGAATATTTTGAAGGCAGTGGGAGGATGGAGCAATTTCCTGCTCCCAGTGTCTTTCTCTGCTCCTTATAAGATATGGATGTTCAGAAATAGCTGTTTCAGCCACAGGGCAACCTACAGCTTTGTTTTGATCTAATTAGTTCACATTTTGCCAGACAGTGTGGAATTTTAAATTAGTAAAAAAGGCACTTAAAAAAAAACATTATTTAAATGAACTCTCCTTTTCCTTCCTTACCACATAAGGCCACACCTTCATGCTTGATCCCAGCGCTGGTGCGCACAGAACCGAACCTGTCAGCCCTATCTCCCAAACTCTGGAGGTTTTAAGGCCGGACGCTATCCGTCCAGGCTGGCCAAGCAATGCGAGGCTCCGGAGAAACCAGTCTCGGGATCCCGTTCTCGACGCCAAACTGTTGTGGAAATAATTATATAAGAGTCTTGTCCGTCTGACGAACGAAGGAATATAAATGTAAAAAGGAGAAATCAAACCTCATGAGTAAAAGCGACCAGCAGGACAGCACGTGTGAACAGTATGACGGGCCAAACCGCTCTGATTCTACAACATTTTGCATCACTATTTATATTTACTGGCCCCAGGACTTGGTCAGTAAGGCCAAATCTTCCTTTAGGATAAGATATCCTGTGAACAGTGAATAGGAAGCACTTCAAGGCTACCTGTGTCATATCAAGTCATTTATGAAAAATTTGCCCGTGTGTGTGTGTGTGTGTGTGTGTGTGTGTGTGTGTGTGTGTGTGTG